TTGGGTAAATATTCTTTCCCATTCTGTAGGCTCCTAAAGAAAGCATTAAAAAAATTATATGCCACTTATGATAAAATATGGATCAGCACAATGGAGATAAAAAGATACTGGCTTTTATTCCTCACTCTAGTAAAGACTATATAAACACAAATTCACAGCTCAGCTCAAAATCTATGATGAGACGATAAAAGCCTTTCCTCTAAAATCATGTACAAGACAAGGATGACCATTTTCACAATTATTCAGCATAGTTTTGGCACTTCTTTGCCACAGCTACAAGGAAAAGCAGAGATATTAAAAGAATTCAAATTGTGGGCCAGAGTGATAGTACAAAGGGTAAGGTGATTGCTTTGCACATGGCCAAACTAGGTTTGATTCCAGATGCCTCATATGTTAGACTTACCCTTGCCAGTAATGATACCGGAGTGCAAAGCCAGGAGTAGGCCAGGAGTACTACCATCTGTGGCCAAAATAAGTTAAAATGTAAAATATATCAAACTATTACTATCACAAGTCATAACATTAAACATAGAAGACCCTGAAAATTCTGCCAAATACACCCTAAAAGTAATATGCATTTTAGAAAGGTAACGTAAAGCTATACACCAATATGCAAAAATCTGGTGCATTTTCATATATAAATATTGAGGTATGTTATTCCAAATTCCGGTAGGCGGGGGTCACACCCACCAACTGGCCCCCTGGCGCCGTGTAATCCCATCAACGGCCAAGACTCAGAGACTATAAAAACCAGCTCCCGGAAGAGAACAGCGCAGTGTCTCCTGACCCCGCGCCTGGTTGTCCTCACCTAGGCCCCTTGGAGGGGAGCGGGTTGAGTTTTCCTCCCCGCCCTGACCAGGGCTCCGGCAGCCAAAGACCTCCAGAACCAGCCACCACCATGCTGAGACCACCCTCCGCACACATGAAGGTACCAGCAGGGGAACAAAGGCACAGTGGTCCCAGGGCTGAGATCTCCAAGCCTACTCGGATCGGGGCTGAGCATCCTCCACCCAGATCCTCCAAATTCCAGATCCTCCTATAAAACCCAGGTCCCAGAAGCGCGTGGCCGCATTCGCAGCTGCGTGACATCTTATCATCTCATTCCTACTTTGGACAAACTGGCAGGCTACCGAATGTAACCTGCCCACATGGCAGAGTCTGGCAAACTCCCCGTGGAGTACCCAATATGCCAAATACCAGTAACAATGAAGGGTCTCATTCTCCTAACTCTGAAAGAGACTTGAATATGGCACTTTTTAAAAAATCTCAGGGCTAGGACAAAGGAGATGTTACTGGGGCCTGCTCAAGGCAATTGACGAATAACAGGATGGTCATGATCGTGATCGTGATGTTATTATTATAAAGGAATATTTTAAAGATGCAATTGATAATTATTCCCCTACATAATCAAGTTCTTGTGAATCAAATTACAAAATAGTTGAAAGATTTATACAAAGGAGACTATAAATCACCTTTAAAAGAAATCGAAAAAGTAAAAAATAAATTGAGTCACATTCCCTGCTCATAGATTGGAAAAATTAATTTTTTGAATCAATGCCTGAGTGCTCAGGATTTACTCCTGGATCTGAAATCAGGGATCACTTCTTGTGGAACTTGGGGCACCATATGGGGTGTTGAGGATCGAACCCAGGCTGACTGTGCAAGGCAAGTGCCCTACCTGCTGTCTTACTGCTCTGGCCCTAAAACCAACATTATTATGATGACTATTCTACTCAAAGCACTATACAAACTCAAATTCAATACTCATAAAACAATCTCATGGCATTTTTTAAGGCTATGGATAAAATGCTACTAAAAATTTATATGGAATAGTAAAACTACCCAAGCAGGCAAAGCAACCCTGAGAAATAAAGAAGATGGGAAACTTTAGTCATCTTTAGGTTATACTATAAATCTGTAATAATCAAAATTGTGTAGAACTGGTATAAAGGCAAATTATCAGACCAAATTATCTATTATGGAATAGAATGAAAGTCTAGAAACATACCCTTAGATCAGTGTACTTCAACAAAGTAGCTAAGATTTCAACAAAAATTAAGTTCGTGGAAAGCCTCTTCAACAAATGGTTCTGGAAGAACTGATTAGCCAAACAATCTCAGTGGAAATATATGTATATATACATATGTATCGGGCGCGTTCAGGGTGGTATGGCCGTAGACATCATTAAAACATTGTGGCTGAATGAGAATAACCTTGTATTGAAAAATACATATTGAGTCAGGAGGGATAGTACAGGGTTTCAGGTACTTGCCTTACTTGTGGCCATTCCCAGGTTGATCCACAGCAGTGAAAATGGTTCCCCAAGTCCTGCCAGGAATGATCCATGAGCACAGAACCAGGAATAAATCCTGAGAATTTTCAGAAGTGGCACAAAAACCAAAAGAAAAAGAAAAAAGAAAAGAATGCATCTTAAATATTTTAAACCATTTAATCATTGCTGAGGTCTTCTCTAATGCCATTGCCACAAAGTAAAATTTGCACTTCTATCATGGTCTCTTCCTTACAAGAAGGAAAGGGGAATTATTCAAACAGCAATAGAATACCCTTAAACCCTTGAATCTGTTCATATTTCAAGCCCTATGTTACAACATTAATATTAAGTGATAGCACAGCGGTAGGGCGTTCGCCTTACAAGCGGCCAACATGGCCAACCCGAGTTCGATTCCTCCGCCCCTCTCGGAGAGCCCGGCAAGCTACCGAGAGTATTCGATATGCCAAACACAGTAACAACAAAGTCTCCAATGGAGACGTTACTGGGCCCGCTCGAGCAAATCGACGATCAACGGGAGGGCCTTTACCTTTACCTTTACTTAGGAAATATATTACTGTTGGGCTGGAGAAGTAGCACAGGTATATAGATACATGGTCCCTTTTTATTGCCAGGAGTGATCTCTGAGCTGAGAGCTATGAGTCAGCTCTGAGCGCCACTGGGTATGGTTCCAACACCTCCTCTCCCAAATAAGATAAACCAGTAAATAACTTTCTGATGGAAATAGTTTCAAAGAAAACTCAAATTGATGAAGCTATTAGTGATACTCATATAGTTGTGGTATAAAGGTAAATTGATTCATATTTCCTCCCATAAGACATTTGAAATAATAACAGAAGCTTAACAAAAGTCAAAATGTGGTCCAGCTATTGCACTGTATAATTTATCTCGAAAAAATCACCTAATTTGTATCAAGAAAAATTGTTGTTGCTATAATATCATATATAGAGCATAAAAATTAGAATCAAACTAAAATGCTTTAGTAGGAGGATAATACAATTATTATGTTAGAACTATGTAGCACAATACTCTTAAAATAAGTCTTGTTCATGAAGAAAAGTTGTGCATGAATCATACCTAGCTCACTGGAGCTCCACTGAACCAGTTGTGATGAGCTATAGGAAACAATCCGACAAGCCAGGACTGCCTCTTGTTCTTGTATATGACAGCATCATTCAGTGGAAGAATTTGTGCTCAGATCCCACTGGAGGGGAAAACTTCCCTGCTCCTATTTTTCATGGTGTTTTTTTCCAGTTCTATTTACTGTCTTCCACACCAGAGGTGGGAGAAAAGTACAAATTCTGAATTGCTCACCAGAATGAAAAAGGAGAAAAGACCCAGGGAAGGAGATGGATAAACTGATGTGAAGGTCTTACTCTCTTCCCTGGAAAAAGTCAAAGTACTATCTGGATGTGCTAAGGCACCATTCATGGATCAGGAATGTCTTGTTTCATGAGAACAGTTTGTAGATACCTTGCCAGAGGGAACATTTCTGACTCTCTTTGTCATAGTGGTCCCTTCTCTATCCAAGCTGTCCTCCCCACATCGCTGCTTATGGCAAGCTTCCAACCATGGACCATTCCTCTTGGCACTTTCCTGGGTATTAGTCTCATACTATGTCTTTTTATGTGCAACAAATGAGTCCAATCATTCTATCCCTGTCCCTGTTCCTCTGACTATTTTCACTCAGCATGGACCAACATGATAATCTTTTAATCTTTTAGTATCTGTACTGCAAAGAGAGAGAGAGAGAGAGAGAGAGAGAGAGAGAGAGAGAGAGAGAGAGAGAGAGGAAAAGTGTCTGCTATAGAGACATGCTAGGGGAAGGGGGTCAGGAGGGAAACTGGGGATATTGGTGATGGGAAATGTACAGTGATAAAGGGACAAGTAATGGAATATTGTATGACTGAAACCCAATCATGAACAACTTTGTAATGTGTATCTCACTGTGATTCAATAAACAAATTAAGAGATAAAAACAAAAAATAAGTCTTGAAGACTTTCATGTTTTAAATAAATGGTTGCTTAAATATTTTATAAACAGGTTTAAAAACAATGAGTAATATACGGTCACAATTGTTTAAAGAAGTTCATCTGCACAAAAGAATATAAATGATTTTTATTTTATTCTATTTCATACTTTTTCATTTCCTTCAATAAGTATGTATCATTTCATAATAACAAATTCTGCATCATAAGAATAAATACATTCAACCATTTTTCAATTAAAAAATGGGAGCGATAGCACAGCGGGTAGGGCGTTCGCCTTACAAGCGGCCAACATGGCCGACCCGAGTTCGATTCCTCCGCCCCTCTCGGAGAGCCCAGCAAGCTACCGAGAGTATTCGATATGCCAGACACAGTAACAACAAAGTCTCCAATGGAGACGTTACTGGGCCCGCTCGAGCGAATCGACGATCAACGGGAGGGCCTTTACCTTTACCTTTTATTCTAATTTTTATTATTCTAGAAGAATTTTTTCCTCACAGAAGGCAAAATCAACCTTGTTACAACATCAACAACTGTACCTTATTTTCTTTGGATAAAGACATTAATTTTTCTTTTCTGTCAAATTGTGACATAGGTAATGAACTCTGTAATTGAAAACTAATATTCAGATAAATTCATGATTCTATAGATGTTATTACCTGAATATCACACTTCATCTGCATAGATTTAACTTTATTATTGAATTCTTTTTCCCTTTCAGGTAAACAACTATAGTTTAGAAGAAGTAACACATGAAGAGGCGGTAGCAATATTAAAGAATACATCAGATGTTGTTTATCTAAAAGTTGGCAAACCCACCACCATTTACATGACTGATCCTTATGGCCCACCTGATATTACTCACTGTAAGTATCACACTGAGTGTTGTCTTCGAACAGTATGCCAGGTTTGCAATAATATAATTCTACTAAAGTTGGCAAAGTCTCTATTCATACCTTCCCTAATTTATTAGCCTGTAGAAATGCTTCAGAGGTCACTTAACCTACTAGTCCTTATCTAATGTTTTGAAATAGCCCTAATGAGTTGATAAGAATATCATTGGTAAAAGACATGTTTGTTGGAACAGTGTCATTACCACAGTATAAGGTAAGGTAAAGGTAAAGGCCCTCCCGTTGATCGTCGATTTGCTCGAGCGGGCCCAGTAACGTCTCCATTGGAGACTTTGTTGTTACTGTGTCTGGCATATCGAATACTCTCGGTAGCTTGCCGGGCTCTCCGAGAGGGGCGGAGGAATCGAACTCGGGTCGGCCATGTTGGCCGCTTGTAAGGCGAACGCCCTACCCGCTGTGCTATCGCTCCAGCCCACAGCATAGGGAAAAAATTTCTGAGTTGCTTCTCAAGTACATGAGCATGATCTCACTCATGACATTTTATTCTTTCTAGTTCAGATCTTTAGTGGCTGAGTGGAAAAGAAAGGCTGCACAAATAATAAGAAAGAGAAATTTGCTTCTTTATGAAGAAAATAAATCCCTACCTTAAATTTAAAATCATGATCCATATCTACTCAGCATAGCTTTTACCTTTACCTGAATTTTGGCAAGGAAAATAGAAAATAATGTGTCACTGTGGAGTGTAGGAGGATCAGGGTTAATCAGGGAGACCCACTGCTATCTAAGTCACCTATTTTTATTATGTCAATGAAAAAGTTAATGAAGATTTTTTCTTTGCTAAAGGAAGTTTTATAAATTTGAGTTTAAGGTATAGTTTTATTGGTACCACTGTGACTCCTAAACAAATACACAAACAAACACACAAACAAAAGAGCAGCTTGGGAAATCACTTACAATACTGGAAACCCAAATGTCTTCTACACCTGACATACCCATATTATGGTCTTAAAAAGTCATTTAACTTATCATATTTATACATTTAATCTGAAATAAATTTGAATATTAAATAATTGGGTTACTTTCCCATTATGTTTGTTATAGCACAGAGGTAGGGCGTTTGCCTTGCACCTGGTTTGATTCCTCTGCCACGCCGGTTCGATTCCTCCACCCCTCTAGGAGAGCCCAGCAAGCTACCGAGAGTATCTTGCCCACACGGCAAAGCCTGGCAAGCTACCCATGACATATTTAATATGCCAAACACAGTAGCAAGAAGTCTCACGATGGAGACGTTACTGGGTCTGCTCGAGCAAATTGATAAACAACTGGAGGACAGTGCAGACAGTGCACGGCTTTTCTTAAAAATAATTCTAAAATGACTCCTTCCCCACTATATATATGTATATATATGTATATATTTCAGTATTCAACAAGCTGAAAGAAGGCTTGCTTTATAATTTCAAAAGTTCTAACTTTCAAAGTTTTTAATATGAAATGTCTCAGAAAAATCAGTCTTGAGACTTTAAGTGCATGAAAGGCATGTAAGGTCAATGTCAAAGGGATAAAGGTAGGAATACACTTTATAATTAATTTAAGAAATATATAGAAGTAATTTTAATATGTGAAAGACACTTTGTAAGGTAATATGTGAGATACAAAGGAGGTACAATCATGACCTTCACTGGAAGGCTAATTCAGATATATAAATAGCTTCTATACTTAGAAAGAATATAGGGGTACATATGCCATGGGAAAGATAAAAATAAGTATCTTTGGACTATTTCAAGGAAAGAGATAATGGAATATAGCCTGTCTTTGAAAGTTCAGAAAAATCTTTATGAATAGGATGCTATCTGGATTGCATCTTGAAAAATGGAAGTCATTTTAATGTCACAGATGTAATAAGGGTCAGGAATTATTGTTGCTTGGCATAGTGGTACAAAGTTCAGATTCTTGGAATAACATGCATTTAGGACCATAGAATCTTGTTATAAGGGCTGTTTAAAAGGAAAATCTTACAAGACTGGCAAAAGGGAAAGGTTTTATTCAATACAGTGGCGGCAATGAAGCATTTTTGTAGGAAAAACATTTGTTGTTACATAATTATAAAATATGTTTGAGGAGATTGACATATAAACATCCTAGTTCCACAAATAAACATCAAGGAGCCACCAAACTGTTCCAGATATATTGGTCCTTGGGCTGAAAATGTTGTGGCCTTCTTGGAATTGTGGCAGGCAGATTCCCCTCTCTTCCAGATAGGTCCTGTAGTCACTACACTTAATCTCCTCTGATATAAAATGGTCCAGCTCCACAGCTCCTGAAACATGCAGCCGCATATGCCATCTCAAGACATCTTTTCCAAATTCACAATACTAACAGCCTAGTAGGAGCACTGCAAATCTGATGGGAACGCAGTGTATAAACCCGCCAAGCTTAATTAGCAAAAACAATAACACAGAAGGTTCAATCAGCACCTTCCAGCTCATTAAATCCTAATTGACTTTAGTTATACCATTGTGCAATATAACTATTATCACAACTTGACTTTTATTGATCTATTTTATACTAACTTCATTGGCCATTTTGTTGTGACAAGCATTAGGAAGTAAATTTGCTTGTGCCTGACTTGCTTGTGTCTGCTCAGAAGTCAGGATTGGGGACATTGGTAGAGGAAGGGTTACAGTAGTGGTAGGATTGATATTGGATCATGACTTCCTTAAACAACTGAATTGTGAACGATTTTGTAGGTCATGGTGCTTACAGAGCCCGGCCAGCTACCGAGAGTATTCGATATGCCAGACACAGTAACAATTAAAAATAAATGAAAATATTTAAGAAAATACAGTGTCAAGAGATCCAGTTGTGATAGTAGTTGAAGAATGAATTTTAGTTGCCCAGAAGGAAGAATTGTTAGGGTGGAGAAATAGAAAGAAAAGCTCAAATTCTTAATCTTTCTGGAATGGAGAAGCAATATAGTTTGAGATTTAAGTTCTATACAAGAGCTAACTTTTCATAGTCGATTAAAAATGATTAAGTATCAATCATTAATTACTAAATATTACATAAAAATATGAAACTCTGCAATTAGAAAGCAAACATTTTTTATTTTAGTATAAATTAATCATCTTTTGAGAATATAGGTCTCCAATTATTTCACCAAATTATTCTAACCAGGCTTACAGATATCACTATGGTTATTCGTTTTTTTCCCCCTAAAAAATCATCATGTGTTTGTACACATTGAATGTAAAAAAACTCCTCCCTCTTTGCAGGCAAGAAGACCCTTGGCATGTGGTAAAGACTTTCTATTTTTTTAATAGAACTGTTAGCATAACACACTGAATTTCCCACGTTACAGTTATTTTTTTCTTTTACCTCTTAGCTTATTCTCCACCAATGGAAAACCATCTACTTGGCAACAATGGCACTTTAGAATACAAAACCTCCTTACCACCCATCTCTCCAGGAAGATACTCACCAATCCCAAAGCACATGCTTGTTGAAGATGATTACACCAGGTCAGACATTTTGGGTTGAGTAATTGCATTTGTGATCACTGATAATTACCAGGAAGAAATAATACCTGTCTAAAGTTTTGATTGCTGTTTTAAAAGCTAACTAAAGTCATGGGATATCTTTCAAACAATTATGGTCTTGTTTCAAGTAGAAATTTCTAAGTACTTGTGCTTACTCTGTTAGGATAAAAACTAGAAATTATTTGCTTAGAATTTGAGAGATATACTATCATTGTACAATTAATTAAGCAGTTTGATAGATATCCAGTATCTGATTTGAGGTTTACAGTCATACTATTAAGATAGGTACTTTATTTATTTATAAGATTATTACTTGAGAAGAAAATATGGTGCTAAGATATAAATGTAAGATGTAGCACACCAATATTTTGTTAGCAGAAGAGTCAAGATTAACATCTTGGCCACTTCGACTCTAAATTTCAAGTACAAAGTTACCCAGAATCACCCAAAGTTACCTAGAATCAAATGTAATAGGGTGTCAATAAATCCTCCCTCTAATGCAACAACTATAAGTGGGAAGGCAAAGGGAAAAATGAACTCCAAATGGGTTAAATTTAAAATATCTTATTAATCCCACAGGCAAAACAGGATAAGGCTTTAGGATAGGGCACAGAACATATTGCTAATCCTACAAAATAAAAACCAAATTCAGTGAAAGTATCTTTGAAAAAGTCAAGTGTTACCACTTTTAGAGAATACCAGTGGAGTTTACTTCTTGGTCACTAAAAGGAGTCATTAAGTTTTTGGTGATTATGAGTAAATTAATAAGTAGAAAGACAGGTAGAGTACATGTTTTCACTTCAAATGTTCTTGTTCCAAGGGAAAATGTGTTCGTTGCATTTGTTAAAGTAATACAAAGCTGCTCAAGGAAAAAAAATATTCCTCAGACTCCCTCCAAAGAAACCTATCCTGAGTCTACAAATGTGACATCTTGGAATGAATTTATTTTCCTTTATTTATATGAATAGAATATATGTTAAAGCACAAGTCTATATAGATGGGACTTAAACTAGTTCACATGGCTCTGAATCTTGTATTCCTCAGTGGAGGAATACCTTTACTGATATGGATGAAACATACAGATTTACAGAATTTTCTTTGAATATATTTGAATATTAAAAAAGATAGAAATGAACCTCTTTATGCTTTAAATACTGTTTGTTTAATGAAACCACTTACAGTGAACGTAAGTGTGAGCGATAGCACAGCGGTAGGGCGTTTGACTTGCACGCAGCCAACATGGCCGACCCGAGTTCGATTCCTCCGCCCCTCTTGGAGAGCCCGGCAAGCTACCGAGAGTATTCGATATGCCAGACACAGTAACAACAAAGTCTCCAATGGAGACGTTACTGGGCCCGCTCGAGCAAATCGATGAACAACGGAGGGCCTTTACCTTTACCTTACAATGAACACCAATGATGTCTTTTTATATGAAATAGAGAACGACTATAGATATAGCACAGTACAGAAGGTAAGGCACTTGCCTTGCAAACAGCCAACTGGTTTGATTCCCAAGACCACAGATGATTTCCTGAACCACACCAAAAATGATCACTAAGCATAGAGACAGAAGTAAGCTCTGAGCACACCAAGATAGAGCCCCAAAATATAGCAAAACAAAAAAATAGAGACTTCTTGGTGCTTCACTTTTCCCAGTGACACCTACATATGACTTGGTCTTTAATTCATTTGCTATTTCTTTTTAAGTGATTGAGAACTTTTCATTTATTTTACCATTTCACATTTGCTGAAGTAGCTTTTTACATCTTTAGGTAAAGGTAAAGGCCCTCCCGTTGATCGTCGATTTTGCTCGAGCAGGCCCAGTAACGTCTCCATTGGAGACTTTGTTGTTACTGTGTTTGGCATATCGAATACTTTCGGTAGCTTGCTGGGCTCTCCGAGAGGGGCGGAGGAATTGAACTCAGGTCGGCCATGTTGGCCGCTTGTAAGGCGAACGCCCTACCGGCTGTGCTATCGCTCCAGCCAAGGAATTAAATGTTTCAATGCAGTAAATATGCATCTGTGGTCCAAATCAAATATCCATTTTTTTTCTGTTGAAACATCTAATTACTTTGCTCTTAAAGTAGGGCTTTAGCAAAGATTATCCTCATGTCTCTCTAAATAATTGTATAAATATAGGCACCTTTATCCACAAGAACATGGTATATTTACTCTCATTCTATTGCTAGCTTTTTATATGAATGTAATTTACTTAACTCAACAATAAATTTTAGCCTTTACTAAAATCTTTGCTGCCTCAAAATATACAACCCATTTAATCATTCAATAATTCAGAAAAATTCGCTTTTATCCCCATTTTAGAGATGTGGAAATGGAAATCCAAAGATATTAAGAAACTTCTTTATGGCCATACTCCTTTGAAGTAGCTAAATTGGTTGCATATTAGTTTTAAAGTCCTGGCTGTGAAGAAAAAAATTTAAATATATTCTTATTTAAAATTGGAAACCAAGTCACATAATTCTGGGCTCATCTTGGGAAAGAAACCCAAGAGTTTTGGTTAGCTCAAGAAACGGGTCAGTGTTAAGATTTTTCTCTTCCAGTGATGAAATGTGACCTTGGACAAATAATGTTTTAATTATTTATGTATGTATATTTTATTTAACACCACCAGCATCTCTAGAAGGGCCACTTCCAGTGGGCCTAAAAGATTCAGTGCCCAAAGCCAGCAGTGTGATAGGCCAGACAATGCTCAGGGTCACTAGGGCAACACTAAGCAGTGCTGAATGTCAGAGACTGGCCATGCAGTGTTGTGTTGGAGGGAGATTGAACTCTACTCACTCCTTTTAGGGATGATCTTCACCTTGGCCTATCACCCTCAGCATTTAGCAAATTATTTAAATTGCAACCTTCAGTTTCTTTAGCAGTATTATGGAAAGAATTACCAAATTCACCTAACAGGTTGGCAGTGAATAAATGAGATAATGAGGGCAATGGGCTGATACAGCGCCTGTCTGGCACATAATGAATTTTAAATGCCTATTAATTAGCTATTTAAAGAAGCTATACAGATTTCCCTTTTAAAAAATTGAGTCACTGTGAGATACATAGTTCCAAAGCTGTTCATGATTGAGTTTCAGTCATACAATGTTCCAGCACCTGTCCTTTTGCCAGTATACATTTCCCACCACTCATTTCCCCAGTTTCCTTCCAAGTACCCTAGCCCCCAAGCCTGCCTCTATGGCAAGCACTTTTCTTTGTTTGCTCTTGCATGTGTGCTCTGTCTCTCTCTTTCCTTTTGGGCATTATGGTTTGCAACATAGGCACTTAGGTGTTATCATGTTTGTCTCTTTACCTACTTTCAGAACTCAGTTTTTGACTGAGTGATCTTTTTTAACTATCATTGTCATGGTGCATAGAGGCCCCTTCTTTATCCTAACTGCCCTTCCCCCAACACTGTGACAAGCTTCCAACCTTGTACCAGTTTATTTGCCTCTTGTTTCTACTGTCCTAGGGTATTAGTCTCATACTAGGTTTGTTTTTTTTTAAATCCCACAAAAAAATGCAGTCGTTCGATGTCTGTCCCTTTCCTTATGACTCTTTTCACTCAGCATGATACCCTCCATGTTCATCCATTTATCAGTGAATTTCATTACTTGATTTTTTTCTGGTGGCTGCATGGTGTCCCATTGTGTAGATATACCATAGTTTCTTTATCCAGTCGTCTGTTCTCTGGCATTTGGTTTGTTTCCAGATTCTGGCTATTGTGAATAGTTCTGCAATGAACATAGAAATGCAGATAGCTTTTCTTCAGTGTGTTTTTGGGCTCCCAGGATATATTCTCAAAAGTGGTATTGCTTTTGGTTGGGTTTGTATGGAAGCTCAATTTCTAGTTTTTGGAGGAATGTCCATTTTCTTTATCCATCTAAAGGGTCAAGTGAAACTCTTTGCATATCATGTCCCATGAAGAGTCTATTTCTCCCCTCTATGATATGCCATTCCTCTTTCCCTTTCTTGTTTACTTAAAAGATAATCTTACTAATTATTCTACAATAAACTTTCTGAATGCCTGGTGTTTGGTTTCAAAGACGATTGAAGTAAAATTGTGTTGGTTTTTACTCATGTTCCTGTGCACGTGCATTGCATCCCTACCTCATGTAACATCATTGCTCTCTCTCATTTGTCCTGTGCTGTGATAATTCTCTGTATCTGAGTGCTTTGTGCTGTGGCTATTCTTTGGGTCTTGGCATTATTTGATCCAAGGCGATTTTATTGCCTCATTCATATTTAGGTATTCCTGAAAAATAATGGCAACATATTAAGAATGCAAAACAGCATAGGAAATATTTCTAAAAACTGTCAAAACTAAAAGTAAATTATGAGCCCCCCAATACCTATTGCTGTGAAGTTTTCCACAAAACCTCATTTATTCATTAGTTAGGGGATTATGTTTTAAGCTTGAAATATTATTTGTTTAGTGATAATAAATAATATTATATATCCAATTTTGCTCTCACTGATGAAATAGAAAATTGGCATTTTTTCAGTATTCCTAATTTAAATGTCAATTTTCTATAAAATTCCAAAGGATAGAGACTTCTGAAACAAACAATATGATAAGACCAGCTCTGTGAAGTGATCTGCTGTCACCTTACCTTGAGAGGAACTTACTTAATATTTCTCAGTAAGTTTGAGTTTAGCAACATCCTATGACACTGAAGGAACTTGAAAGAGGAGTCAACAGCTGAGTTTGTCAGAGTAAAGAAATCTGGAAGCACATTTGTATTAAGGGATAGCATATGCAGATATATATGCCATGTATGAAATAATGAGTGTGAAATAATATAAACTGAAAACAGCTGTTACATTTGTGAATGTGTCTAATGAAGGGAAATAGTATGACTTAAAAATTATCTTTACATTTCTGTCCTTTCATTTGCAAACTAATTTTAAGATTAATAATACAGAGTAGCAAACCTTAAATGATCACCATTAACATTTTTAATATACATTATCACCCTTAG